CATGGGAAACTGCAAGTCCTTGATGTGAACAAACACTACCTATCAACAACCAAAACATCCATTTGTTATCAGTGTTACTCTCATTCTGCATTCAAAACACACTGTACTAAGGAGAAAATTAATTCTGTCCCAGGTGAAGCCAGGAAACTTATCTAGGCCTTCATTTTCAGAACTACTTCCTCTCTGTCTATTAAATTAAATCCTGAAATGTGGAGAAATACTTCATTCAGCCATTAGATTGATCAGATAGTACTGACATTATTTCTTTTGATTGCCTGGTTTTGGAGCTAAACAAAATTCACATGCTTTGTTCCCTTTGAGAAGTATCTCATGGGCACAAAATGTTCCTTGTATTCCAGCTGAAAAAAACCCTTAACATATGTCTTGAATTGTACAGAAACATGGTGACATGTGCCTGTTTATTTCTAATGAAACTCCTCTGTAAAACTATTTTGTACTTATTTACTAGGGAGCAACACAGAATGCAGCCAATGCCCCAGGTACTACACCACAGAATCAGGTAATGTTTTTTATTTTTATCATTAAAAGCATTAATGTTTATATTCTCTATGAATAATAATTTGTTACATGTGGAAACTTGAGGAGCTTTGTTTTTGTCCTATGAGACATTTGTCTAACAGCTACATGACACAAAACAAAACAAATTAATTTCTTACTATATCTGGTTGTCAGGAAACGAGAATCTGCAGTTTCTCATTACTATACAGAAAACAGCACTATTACCAAATAATACTGGATTCTTAAATTTGGACTGTGCTTAGTATCAGTTGAAGGATTCTTAATTTTTTTTTTTATTGCTAATAAATTCCCTTTAGCTTACTTTATTCTAGCAGCAGATAAGGAAAAGGATGACAACACAGGATGCCAAAATATCTGCCTGAAAGCTTTATTTCAGGAGTTTGGGGGTTCTCTGCTCACTTTTGCTTTTTCTCTCATAAGTGTCTTTATTTTCCAAAGAATTGTGTGGAGATGTAGGAACAACTCCCTGCACTTCATTCATCTTGTCTGCTCAGTGACCTTCTAAATGATTCATGTTAGAAGTGAAAGTGGTAAAGAGCCAGGATTTGCAGGAGAACAAGTGCCATAGAAGAATATATTTGCTTGCCCTGCCCTGCATCTTTCTTGAGTATTGCCATTGCATACATAATCAACAGGGGAAGGGGTCTTGCTCCCTGGATTTTCAGGCACAATACATGTATATCAGTTTGCATCAAAGCACAACGCTGAGTGTTTGAGTATTTCTTTGAACTTCAGAAGTTTATTTTCTAATGGCACTACCTGGAATATTTCCAACAGTAGAAAGCGATTGTTCTGCTAAGGCTTTTTATTTGGCACTGCTTTGAGGATGGTTGAAGTTGGGATGTCCAGTTTGTTTTTATTTTTATAATGTACTCGATGATTTGAAGATACCAGTATCAGCAAATGACTACTCAGCCTTGTCTGTGGTGGGTGGCTACAAATTCATATTAGCAGGCAAATCTGTTAAAAAAACTAAAGCTCTAAATCTAAAGGATTTTCTAATTAAGAAATTTTGATTGAGCTCTGTAATAAAACCATGTGGGTTTTGTGAGTTTTGATTGCCCAGTCATATTCAGTATTTTGGTAGTACTGCAGGTAAACAGGGATTGGCTTCCCACTGCTTTCCAGAAAGATATGAGTCTTTTACATACCACTGCCATAAGGTGTCTTGGACAGCACTGCAGACACTGCTTTGGCATCTGGGTGCAGAGAGTGTTGCAGTGTCAGCTCTTGACTAGCTGAGTTTAAATGTGACATCTAAGACAGTATGGTATTGTGATTTTTGTGGAAGTAAGAACCTCTCCAAATTAATATATCTGTGTAAAAGTACGAAGGGGCTCTGTCTGCATATTGATAAAAGTGTGGTGAAGCCCAGATAGAATGTTATGAGCAAAACTAAAGAAATGTGAGTCTTGGTTCAAATAATCATGCAGAGAGATGCAAAGGAAATGTATGCAACTATGTATAGTCTTCTGAGCTTTGATCTTCTGTTGTTGCAGGTGCCTGACAACCCACCAAACTACATCCTTTTCCTTAATAATTTGCCTGAGGAAACAAATGAGATGATGCTGTCCATGTTATTTAATCAGTAAGTTTTGAACAGAAATGATTTCTCCTTTGAATTCTTCTGTAACCTGTGTGTCTTTTCTCAGTTGGCAAGCTCTTATTTTAGAAGAGTTTCTTTTGAAGGTATTTCAGTTGTTTGTGTTACTGCCAAGGCAACAGATGTCAGTTCTGATGACTTAGTCCAGAAAGCAAATCTCATCTTTTTTGTAGCTGGTTTTGATTGTGTAATTTATCTGCTATCAATTTGCATTGGATTTAATCTGGAGACTGTAATATTAAAGTCTTTAGGACGGCAGGAGCAGTTTTAAAACTAGTTAGATTGCTTCTCTATGTGTACAGCACTGATTAAACTGCTTCCACATAATATTCCTTAATTGAGGCATAGTTCTAAGGATAGAATGTGTAAAATCCTGCAATTTAAATCTTTCATTAGCAATAACTGTTGCACTAGTAGATGATTCTGGTAAAAAGCTACTGAAGAGAGATGTATTATTGAGCTAAGAAGTATTTGTTGACTCTCATCTTATTTTAAAGGTTTCCTGGATTCAAAGAAGTACGCTTAGTACCAGGGCGCCATGACATCGCATTCGTGGAGTTTGAGAATGAGAATCAAGCAGGGGCTGCTCGAGATGCTCTCCAAGGATTCAAGATCACTCCATCTCATGCCATGAAAATCACTTATGCGAAGAAATAACTATATTCTCCTGTAAAGGACTTGTGTGGATAGGTGTTTGTTTTTTAAACACTGATACTCCAGTCAGCTAGCGTGTTTGCTGTTCTCTGCAGAACACATAAGACTCAAATAGAATTGCCACAATGACCAGGCACACAGGATTTCCACAGATCACCTGGATAGTAACTTTTTCTGTTGAAATACTAATTTTTATAAAATAAAATATAAATACGCTGTTTTCAAGCCATGTTTTTTCCTCAAGTCTGTCTCATTATTCATTAGCCTTGCAGTGCTTTATTCAGTCTAAGAACTTCTAAGGTGAACCTTATTTCTCAGAAGTAAGTGCTAAAACTAGCTGTCTTTCCAGAGCAAAAAGTATGATCAGGAATGCTGAATGCCAGCATATTCAGAATAAATACAGTATTCAACCTCATTATCAAGGGGACAGCTGTTTTTTCACTTAGGAAATACAGCTTATCATTAATGGATTTTTTTCCCCAGGTATTGTTAGAAATTGATTACAGTTTGGCAGTAATGTGATTCAACTCAGTTTTGTCTTGTTGGCTGGCAGTAGAAGCAAGTCCCTAAAGGAAACATAAAAATTTCTGGTTTTTAGCCAGGCTTTTCCAAAATACATGTCCTAATGCTTCTGGGTTTCTCAGGTTTGATTTACTTTATTTTTTCTCATTTGTTAAAAGCTTCAAAAGTTTTGTGTGGCACAAAATACACTGGATGCAGTGAAATAATCAGATATAGTATTGTGAGTTGTAACTGTTCCAAATATTTTGGAAAAAAAAATCACTTTAAAAAGTTGGAGTGTTTTGTATCTGCAACATGAGCCACCTTTTTTTGCACAAGATGTGGAAAATTGAAGTTTCACCTGCTCCCAGAGTACATTGCAAAACAATGCCTCTTTCACAGTCATCTCAATTACTGTCCTATCTCCATTTATGTATTTTTTCATTCTTTTTAAAGATTCAGTGTATGTGTGATTTCACAGGTATTCAAATACTTGCAAATGAAAATTGTTTCAATGTGCCCGTAACAGCAAAAACGAGAGTTACTCCATCATAACCTTGGATCTTTGCTCCTGCAGTCATAAATTTATAGGTAATAATTATTCTGTCATTTCATCCCACGAGTTTGTGTGCACATGACTACCATTGCTTTTCACCTTTATTCACGTAAAGGGTTTGGAGCGGTCTGCAAAGGAGGTTGGAGGAAGGAGTAATGGGCTGGAAGGCTGGAGGAGAATGTGGTGAAGTCAGCTGTCATTGGAAGGTGATGCTAGAAGTTGCATGATGCACTTTCTTTTAAAAGAGTGTGGGATTTTTGATGACAGCTGACAATTTCTGCTCTTCTCTCTGGGAACTGAAAGCTGGTGCAGCCAGCAGCTCTTCAGACCTCCTCATGAATCAGGAAACACTGCTTCACTGGAGTGCAATTCAGGAATTTCCAAACTTGCCCTTGGTTATTTCTAAGTGCTAATTCAGACCAGCCTGCTGTAGCCTGACAGCTGCGCTGTTGTAAAGAGGTTGTAAAGAGGACCTTGTAAGTCAGCCTGTGGCACTGTTTGGACCTGCAAACCCTCAGCAGAGTTCAGCTAGGTAAAGAGAAGTGAAATGTCTGCTGTCCTGGCATGACCTCTGTGTTTTGCTCTGACTGCATCTCTCTGTGGAAGGGATCTTGCCTGTGCAAGTATGAAGTGCTTGAACTCTTAGATTTCAAATTTTAATTGCTGATTTGAAAAGCCTTTTTACTGCCTTGGAGCTCCCTAATAATTTGTTTACATTGCATCCATCTGCTATTGTGCCAGTAGGACCTTTCTGTGGACAGGAAGAGGGGAATCTGGCACTGAGGGTTTTTGGTGCAGGGAAGATTGTACTTGTCAGTGAGCATTTGTGAAAATTAAGGACAGGAGGATTAAGAAGAATGTCATTTCATTTGCTTCTTACCAGGGTCTGACTTAATTTTCATTCTCAGACTTTCCTTGAAGTACTGTTCAGGCTATGGACAACTCTGGGAGGGCTTAGCACGTTTAAGTAATACAGTTGCTGATAAAAACGTTAACACAGAATGGCTTTGGGACAGGATTCAGCTTTAGGAGTCGGCCCTGAGGTTTTCTCTCTGCCTATGGCTCCTCTGGTGAGATGGAATGTTGCCACAGCCCCTTCCTATTAGCCTGCTGTGTTTGTCCAGGTGTCTCACTCTTCCATAAAAGATGGACCTGGCACACGCTCAGCAAGTGCTGCAGCAAAGAAAAATAACACAAAGTGTTTATTTGATGATCTTACTTTTGTATCTCAGATTAATGTTTCCTCTTGCAACTGGAATTTTTATGGAGAAGCTTACCAGCAAGTAGCTGTGTACTGATGATGTACTGTGTAAGTAAATTTGCTTTAACTTTGAGGACAAAATAGTTTTAAAAATAATGGTGAGGGTGAAGGGAAAACTACTTTGCTTGCTTAGCTCTGTCATATATTTGTCTTGTCAAGTGGCTATGTAGAATGTCGCATGCAGTTTTACCAAAAAATGGGTTTTTTAAAGGGACATTTTTCACTTAAGTGAAAAATGTAGATAGGGCTTTTAACTTTCAGTGCTGAAATTGCTTCTGAAGCTGTTATTTTGGTTACTGGAGGATAGAAAAATGGCAGAACTAATTCTTGAAGACTTTAGCTGTTTCAAGATAACCTACTTTTATATGTAGGAATAGTTTTACTACAAGGCCACATGTATTTATATTTCTGTAAAAGTATGTATGTATTTGAATTCATCTAACTCATCCTTTTGTTCCTTTTCCCACAGACACCAATTCCCTTGCCAGAGCAGAAGAGAATTATAATGCTTCAGACTGCAGATTCATTAATATTAAGAAGGGCCAATTGATTTATGTTTACTCAAAACTAATGAATGAAAAAGACTCTGGAGAGTTCTGGCCTGCAAGTATAAGAGTTGATCCTTGTGTATATGAACAAACTAGAAGTAGATTAACACACATTGCTGTCAAGAAATGGATGATAACGCTGAGCTATTGTGGGGCTTAAAGCAGCAACTTAGTTTTAAAAGTGAATGTTTAAACTGGTTGAGGAGACTTGAAGGAGTTTAATATTCTTCTTTTTTTTAAGTGAAATATCTTCAATAGCTATATGGTAATTATGAAGTGAACCTTTACAGAATGGCTCCACAGTTTATTTCTGTGGCTGTTTATGAAAACAGTGGAAGAGAAAGCTTTTATCACAGGAGCCTTTTAAATCTTAAATTTAAGGGAAGCAAATAAAAAGATTAGCTGTGTTTACAAAAAAGCACCAGATAAAATAAAAGCAGTATTCATTTACTCAAAAAATGTGTGCCTAGATCAGAACTTCTGTCAATGGTTTGTTTCATGTGCCAGCTGGTTGGAACCTAGGAAATGTGAAACCAGATTAAGAACACTAGTGGTAACTCCTTTTGACTAAGTGATAAACCAGCTCAAAGCAGATGAGGATTGTTTTAAGGTATCTAATTATACATCTCCTTGCTTGAAGGTTTATGGAGAACATTATGAAGGCCATATGGGGACAGCTGGTTATTTCCCTAGCAGTTTAGTGTCAGAACAACATGTCTATCAAGAAGCAAATAAGACTGTTCCTACAAGGGTAAGGAATTTACAAATGCCCAGCTGGCTGCATAATTGTACTTGGCTATGTAATGCTAATTTGCTGTAAAATTAAATCATTATTGTGGCAGTTGATTGTAGCATATCACAGATGCTCAGGAATCCAATCTTTGGGCCTTTATACAGGCAAATAACCTCAATAAAATCCCTAACATTGATACAACTGATACAGCAGACATTGTAAATGTTGCAATAAAGACTTGATCCTTTTTATTTGAATAGTATTCCTTTAAGGTCATGTAAGTTTTACCCAAAGCTTTCTTTTATAGATATTACAGCCTGGATTTTGTGCTGTAAACTTCAGTGAAGTACTAATGCATTTAATTCTTTTAATTGTGTATATAGATAGACACTGTCATACAGAACTTGTGATTACTGTGAGACCATGCTTGCTTTCTCATTACAAAGCTAATGTTGCGTCAAAAAACTGAGCTAAGAGGGTTTTGGAAATACATTGGCATTCTGTGAGTAAGTGGGCTGCGTTTCTGAATGAAATCAGGTTTGTCCCTGATAATGCACAATAGTGCATTTTACTCCAAAAACATAGTATCTTTATTAAATCCCTGAAACCCTTCACAGAGGAGTGGAAGAGGAGGGTTCTTTCTCAGAGGCCAGCATGGTTTGGCTTACAACAGTTACTGGTAGCTTCTTTCTGTGCTTAAAACCAAATGGAATGTTAGGTTTAAAGTACTTGCCTTCATCCATCTCAATATTTTTAGCTGTATTCTGTTTTGGAGTGTATGGAAAAATACAATTAGCATTTCAACCTTGAAATCATACCTAGAGCTTTCAGTCCTAGGTCCAGATTATTAGATGGGTTTCATTAACACAGTGAAAATAAATGAAAGAAAGAATTTTGTGTCATGTTAATAGCTGCAAGGATTTGCACCAGACAAGCTTTATTTGAAGAAATACACATCTTGGTTAAATGGTTGGTTTTCTTGACACTACATTAGGTTATTCTGAATTTAGCCCAGAAGTGTTGCAGAAATTGATCAGTCAAAGAGCTTGAAAGAACTACTACAATACATTTTAAGTTCTTTTCTCAGTCCTAAAACAGCAAGTCTGCTGCATGGCAAGCTGAACTGGAAGTAGAGGTATGTTAAGGCAATGTCTTAGCCTGAAGGCTGAGTCATTGTCCAGAATGGGACATTGTTGGGCTGCAATGCTGAGCTTTAATTGGAAAGTCAGTGACATAGGCTTCTGTAAAGCCAGTGACACAGACTTCCAGTCCTTTCACCCTCCCTTCTACGCATTCTTGCTCTGCAGGAACATTGCAATGAAAACAACGGGTGATACAGAGACATCTACTGATCTCAGCTTATTTTGCAAATGTGACTTTAAGGATCAGACTCTTTGTTCACATTTAAAATAGTTTATAGCACATCTTGAGCTATCTGTGCTCTGCCTCCTCCAGAGATATCCCTTAAAGGAGCTGTTTCAGATAGAGTTAGTGTTGCACCACAGCCTTCCATCTGCAAATCAAGATTCAGTTTCTCGCTCACAGCTCTGTAACTTTCTTCCAAGCCAGTGGCAATGTTTTTGCCTTGCTTTCATGGCCTTGCACTTGCAAAGCCCAATATTGGTGTAAGATGGGCTCTCTTTGGAAGGGGTTGCCATTTGAATGAGGAGCTTGTATGAGCTATGGGTACTTCGTATACATGTGGATACTATATGTGGACAGCAAAACAACAACTTCCATTGCAGGATGCATACACCAGAGAGCAGGTACACATATATTATCCTTTTCAATGTTGCACAAAGGTCAGTGTTTGGTGTCTCACAGAAAAACAGCTTGCTAGTACTTCTTTGGCAGCAATCATGATAAAATGTGGGCAGTGTTTTTATTCCTCTTTGCCTTTTCCCTGGCTACCAGCAGAGAGCCTATTCAAAATGACCTCTTATGTACAAGGAAATAACTCAGCAAGCTTGAAGGGGGTATCAGAGTCTGCCTTTGCTACTTAAAAATCTGAGGAAAGTAAGATAAGGGTTGACTTTGTGGTATTCATAAAGCATCTGGCTGTGAAGGAACACTGTAGTGGCAAAGCCTCTTGTCTCCTGAATTCAGTCTCTAATGGTCTACTGTTGGATGGTCTCCAATCCAGTGCAGCTGTATAGCACCTTTTGTCTGCACAGTGTCACAGGTACTTGTGTAAAAACTGTCATCACCTAAACACTGATGACCTATGCTGCAGTCTGAAAACCTTTTGGGCAGGATCACGTTTTTAAATTGTATAGAGCATGGTAACTCTATCCATTAGTCTGCCAGGATGTTATACAAGGAATGGAGCAATTCTTGATGTCTTTGTCCGTGGCGTATCTGATGGCAATCACTAACTGCGTGAATGCTCTACTGAAAAGGCATGTGAGTAGATTCTCTTTGCACAAGGGATGGTGTGTGTGCTCAGAAGAGTGGAGATGCTGAGTCTGACATGATCTTCTTACTCTAGAGAAGATGCACTACGTGCCCCAATTATCATTTATTCACGTGAATTGAATCAGTGCTTTGTTTTTTTCAGAATGGTTAACTTAAAATTCCCATTGCTAATGCTGATTACTACAAGAGGAAAGATGAGACTCTCTTGCATCTAGAGAAAAGTCTGTTTCTACCCTTTACATATGTAGGGAAGTATGGCGATTTTAGCAGCACTAAATTAAAGGTAAACAAAATGATCCCGGACTTGTATGATGAAATCTGGAATTAGTGGGGAAGGGAGAAAAGGCAGGAGAGCACAGGATGTCTGTAGGGAACTTTTGAGAGATTGCAGATACAGCGCTGTTAATGTGAAATTGACAGGTTTTTTGTTTTTAAATTTTGAATTTTGAAATTTTGAAATTGACAGAAAGATCAATAGCTTTGACACTGAACTTGTATCTGCTGCCTGCATTTCACGTTCTTAGGTGAAATTCACTTCCAGAAGAGCACTGCTTGCCATTCAGACCCCTCAGTGTCCAGGAAATAAACAGGAACTGTCTTTCAGGAGGAGAGGAGAATCAATATTATGCCAGGAGGAATTGAAGGGTGCTTTGGGTTTTCTAGAATCTTTCTTTTCCCCCCTACAGTGATTACCGTCCTTGCTGTTTCTTTATGGAAATCATAGTTTCAGCAATATTGTTTCAGTAATATGTACACTGGATAAGATCTCTCAGTTCTTTTTGTCCCAGCATAGGGGAAATATATGCACACCTGAATGCGTATGCCAGGTTTGCATTTAAACAAGGTTGTGTTTAAATCAAAGCAAGCATTCTTGATGTGGCCTCAAAATGCACTCTTAACTCATGGCATCTATTTGGCTGAACTTCATGTTAAATTTTCAACCTCGGGCAACGATTCAGAAGTTTTACAAACAGCCTGTTGTGTATTTTTCAGCAAGGATGTCTTTGAAGAAGTGTAGTACTCTTAGGTCATTACCTTAAGTGAAAAGCTTGTAAGAAAGCCTTTCCACTGCCATGGTACTCTGGGAGCAGCACTGATGGATGAGGGCAGGGTGACATCCAGTGGCTGGCTTCTGCCTGGCTCTGGGAAGGACTTGTTAGTACATCACAGGGACAACCCAGCTGGGAGGGCCCTTGGGTGTCTCCTGCCCAAATCCACCAAATCCACATCAGAGCCCTCATAGATTTGCCTCACAGATTTGTCTTGAAAGCCTCCAAGAACTCCAGGTAATTTGTTCCTTAATTTATTCCCATAGTGAAAATTATTTTATTTAAAATCTGTTGTAGGTTTTGGTTTTTTTTTTAATTTATGTCCCTTTTCCTCCACAGAACACCTCAGTACAGAGCCCAGATCCATCTTCTCAATAAACCCCTGTAGTTTCTGGGAGGCTTTGTGTCCCCCTGGAATTCTTTCTTTCCCAGGCTCAAGAAGTGCAGCTTGCACAGCCTCTACTATTGAGATTTCTGGACCCTCCCCATCCCCTGATTCTTTTTCTTTAACAAGTTCCAGTTGCATAGCAGCAGACCAGGTTTCTGAGCTGGCTTGTTGGAGAGGATGAAATGTGTGCTCTGCAATTCTCCCTCACACAGACTACAGTTTTTGAGCAGGCTATTGTAAGAAGATGCCTGTCTAATATGAACCTGAGACATCTCATAACCTTGAAATTTAGGATGCCTTAGTATGAAATAGCCAAGTAAGGAAAATAATAACTGGAGAATAGAATTCCTAACTTTGGGGCTTGCATTGATTTTTAAAATGAACTTGCTATTTCTGGCTTATATTTATTTACTAGAAATACCTGATTTAAGCTGAAAGATAGTTTGTTTTTCTTTCCTCTTCTCTGGCAAAGGGGAGATGCTTTTTCTATTCTTGGCTGACATTGATCTGTCTGCATGGTTTTTTCCCTTACAGTCTCTCACCCCCACTTGGTTTTCTTGAAGTGGTATGGCTGTACCATCAGCCCCAGAGGTGGAACAAAATGGCTTTGGTGTAAGATGGGCTCTCTTAATTATTTAATTTGATTCTTAAATTAAATCTTAATTTCAATCTTTAATTTTAATTATTTAATTTGAATAATTAAATGGCTGCTTTTTTTCAGGGTGGATGATGAAAACTGCTTCGGGATGGATGAATAGCAGTATGTCAATACAAATAACGAGGAGCCAGTGTGAGACTGATTGTTCTTTCTGCTCAGACTGAAATTACATTGCCAGCCTATGACAAGCAGAAGCTCAAAATATACAGTATTGAATAAAACTGCAGGACTGATTAGTAAATACTATTGAATATTTGTATACATGCAATACTGGAGTTTCTCAGCATCATTTAAACAAGGATATGAATGCCTCTGAAGAGTATAAAATGTAGAAGAATGCTTAGTTTGGAGCAAGAACAAAAACGGTGAAACTTGGCTTAAATGATATTGTGGTCAGAGTGCAACTTAAGGACAGCTCTCCTGTAGGTATTGTAATGCTTATTTTCATATCTGCTGTAGCAAAGCACTGCCTATGGTCAGGCCCTCAACTGTGGCAGTGGTGTTAAGATTTGCTAAAGAGAGATTTTTTTTTTTAGATGGTGTTGGAGGTTAGGATTTCTTTTTTTTCCCCTTTTTCTCAGGGAATTTTCTCCCAACTGTTGCCCAACAGGTAATATCGACTGGAATTTAAGAGAGACAAAAGAAGTTGTCAGGGTAGGGAAAGGGGATGCAGTTGGCTGCAGCCTCTTAGCTGGGGGCTTTTCTCTTGAGAAGAGCAGAGATACTGCGAGA